GCAGACAAAACAGGCCTAGTAGAAGATAGCATTGAAAGAGTTAGACAAAGCCTAGAAAATAGAAAAAAACAGAGAGAACAGAGCGAAGCATGGTATCAAAATTGGTTTTCTACATCCCCCTGGCTATCCACATTGCTTCCCAGTGTCTTAGGGCCGCTTATAGGTTTTCTGTTGCTCCTCACCTTTGGGCCTTGGGCATTCAAAAAACTAACTGATTTTGTCAAGTCACAGGTAGACGCAGCCACACAAAAATTGGTCTCCGTGTTTTACCAACGACTAGAACAAAGAGGCTCCAGAGAAGACCTCCATGAAGAGTCTCCCAATACACCCACTAAAGGTCTAAATTTCTCAGACCTTGCCTCAGACATGGAACGCAGTTGGTTCCAAAAGCTGTGGAGATGCCCATGACGGGATTATCGCGATGTCGTGTACCAGATGCACACCCCGCCGACGGTGAGGTGACTCCATGACGGGAATATTGTAGGTCCATGCCCGGGGGCACACTTCATAATCAGAAGTGCCGGAGCTGGATGCCACCTACATAGCCTAAGACAGAGGCCTCACCTTCACATTTATCGCCCAATCTCATATTTGGGGTGCTGGTCTCGGAAGCCCATCGAGTAGCCTAAGACAGGCTCTCCACCAACCTATATAAATCTCCCTCATATTAATAAAGAGAGGGGGAGATGTTAGAAGCTGAGACCCTCAACACCCCCTCATGACTTGTCTACGCACGGGCCTATCAGCCCCTGGACGAAATTCTAGAGGACAAAAACAGCACCGCCACCCTCCAGCTATAGCTCCGAACAAAGCAATGGCGTTCTATACGTGCTGACCGCGAAATGCTCCAGGTGGTGCTAACTGCCCATTGTTCCCGACCTTGCCAGGTTGGGTTGGAGTTAATAGTCAGCAAACAGCCTTAATACTAATCAAGACACTGGTTGCGTCGGCTAATTAGACCAAACCAAGCCGCTCATCGTCACCCCCGCCCCACTCTATTTTTCGCGTTTCTACTACTACTTCCTTGTTTATTCTGTATGCTTATGAAACCTAGCCAAAGAATCCAAGTAGACAAGTAGACTTGACAACCATCCTTGCTTGGTCTCGTTCCCTCCTTCTTTTCGGCCCATGCCTCTTTCAGGCATGGTCCCCCTTGACCCCTCAGGAGTAACAGAGGAGGGTCCCACGGCCGGAGACAGGTTGAGGCAGTAGTGTATAGGATCAATGTGAAGAAAAAAAAGGGAAGGCAAAGAGGTATGATTCTTTATTCTAGGCACAACTGTGTAAGTATTTTCACAGTTTAGTGTGAAGAAGAAAGTATTTTACAAAGAAATGGAAGATCCATCCAGCTTTTTATTTTTTTTAATTGTGTTTTGAGACGATCTCACTTTGTTGCCCCAGGCTAGAGTGAGATGCCATGGCACTCAACCTAACTCCCAGCAACGCTCAAACTCTGGGCTCAAGCCATCTCTGCTCAGGCCTCGTCGAGTAGCTGGGACTACAGGAGCAGTGTGGCCACCATGGCCCGCAAATCTTTTCTATATAGAACGTGTTAGTCTGGCCAAATTAATTTCTTTCTTATTATAGTAGAGACGGGGTCCTCACTCTGTGTTCAGGCTGGTTTCGAACTCCTGACCTTGAACAATCTGCCCGCCTTGGCCTCCCAGAGTGCTAGGATTACAGGCGTGAGCCACCATGCCCAGCAAGATCCATGCTTTATATACCTGTTATGGGGCTGGTCTGAATTTGGTGGATGAGAATAATTTTTAAAAACTGTGGTCATTCTCTGCCAAGAGATAATTTAAAAACTTTCAAATTAAAAAGTCCACAGGTCTTTTCAGGGCACAGATGAGTGCCTAAATTGGAGTTTAAGGTGTCTGCTGAACTTCATGAGTGCAGGAGGCTTAATTAAAATAAATAGTGATATAGCCTACATGTTAAAGACTATTGCAGATAAGGCTGTGGCCAGGAGGAGTGGCTCATGCCTATAATCCCAGTACTCTGGGAAGCCAAAGCAGGAGGATCACTTGAGCTCAGGAGATGAAGCTGAGCCTGGTCAACACAGCAAGCTCCCATCTCTATAAAACATTAAAAAAACTTAGCCAAGTGGTAGCACACACCTATAGTCCTAGCTGCTTAGAAGGCTGAGACAGGAAGATTGCTTGAGCTCAGGAGTTGAGGATGCAGTGAGCTATAATTGTGCCACTGCCCTGAAACCTCAGTGACAGAGAGAGACCCTGAAAAAAAAAAGATGTAAAGCTATAGTCTAACAAAGTTAGATCTATTAACTTGCCTAAGAAAAAAAGGTAAGAGACAGGGACAGTTTAGGATTTGGTGGAGTTTAGATAAGAGTTAAATGAAGCAGATTCCAAGGCTTGATTCCTTGAAAGCTGTAAAGTTAAAATAAATGTATAATGTCATATTTGAAGCTCTATACTTGGAATGGAAAAGTGTCTAAATGACCCACATCGCTCAGATCCTCCAGGTGAGAGTGGGATGTTCCATTCTTACTGATAGGATTTCAAACAGCAAAACTTCTCAAAGTTTATTTTAGTGAACAAAGTTTCTCAGCCTATATTCTTCCCTTAATTAACAAAAGCAGATTCACAATGGATATATATTTATACCTTTCGAAATCATGCTCAACTTTAATATTTGGCATGAATGTTACCTCCTTGAAGGTAGATAACATTCAATTTCCCCTTGGTTGGGTTTAAAGGCTTCTTTTATTTTCAACAACAATAATAATAGTATAGGGAGAGGTGGGGTTAGCCAAAGGTTGGTTAAAGCTGTGGTTCCCATCACCTGAGCCTCAGACTGGTACCTGTCTGTGGCCTGTTAGGAACCAGGCTGCACAGCTGGCAAGCAAGGGAAACTTCATCTGTATTTATAGCCGCTTCCCATTGCTAGATTCACTGCCTGAGCCCCGCCTCCATTAGATTCTGCATTATGGTGAGTCATATAATTATTTCATATTACAATGTCATAATAATAAAAACAAAGTGCACAATAACTGTAATGCGCTTGAATCATCCTGAAACCATCCCTCCTCCATCCCCCACCATCCATGGAAAAATTGTCTTCCATGAAACTGGTTCCTGGTGCCAAAAAGGTTGGGAACTACTGGGTTAAAGGATACAAAAGTACAGCTAGATAAAAGGAATATGTCTTAGTGTTATAGAGTGACTATAATTAACAACAATTTATTATATATTTCTAAATAGCTAGAAGAGTGGATTTTGAATGTTTCCAACACAAAGAAATGATAAATGTTTGAGGTGATGGGTATACTGATTACACTGATTTGATCATTACACACTGTATACATGTATTGAAATATCACACTATACCCCATACATGTATGGAAATATCACACTATACTCCATAAATATGTATACTATGTACATAAATGGGTACAATATGTACAGTTATTGAGTCAATTAAAACTGATTAAAGCAAAAATAAGGCCAGCGTGGTGGCTCACGCCTGTAATCCTAGCACTCTGGGAGAGCGAGGCGGGTGGATTGCTTGAGGTCAGGAGTTCAAAACCAGCCTGAGCGAGGACCTGTCTCTACTAAAAATAGAAAGAAATTAATTTTTTTTTTTTGAGACAGAGTCTCACTTTTGTTGCCCAGGCTAGAGTGAGTGCCATGGGTCAGCCTAGCTCACAGCAACCTCAAACTCCTGGGCTCAAGCAATCCTTCTGCCTCAGCCTCCTGAGTAGTTGGGACTACAGGCATGCGCCACCATGCCCGGCTAATTTTTTTCTATATATATTAGTTGGCCAATCAATTTCTTTCTATTTATAGTAGGGACGGGTCTCGCCCTTGCTCAGGCTGCTTTCGAACTCCTGACCTTGAGCAATCCGCCCGCCTTGGCCTCCCAGAGTGCTAGGATTACAGGCGGGAGCCACCGCACGCCCGGCCAGTTATTAGTTTTTAACACATGAGAAAACTGATGCATAGCTTATCTAGGTAGTTGCTTTTTCTATTATAGTATTTACTTTCATTCTGCCTTATGCTTTAGCTAATTTTTTTTTTTTTTTTCAGTTTTGGAGGCATCAACATGTGAACTAAAATAAAATCTGAAACCTCCTCAGCTGAATGAATTGACTTCTCTTAGCCAAAGGGACCCCAGGAATACCCTAAAGCTAAGTTGCTGGCCATGAAAACGGAGATCAGACAAGCTTGGTCATTCCCCCTTCCCTTCTGGGAGACATCCTCTGTAACTCATTAACAGGCCTAAGGCTATACAAAGCAAAGCTTAAACCACACCTGCAGGCCATCAGTTTACTTAACAGATCACTTGAGTCTGAAAATACATCCAGTGGCTTGTCTCTGATTAACAGACTTAAAACATTTCAAGCCTTTAGACAAAACTTCGTCTCTTTAACCAATAAAAAATCAAAGAATATTTAAACCCACCTTTAACCTGTAATGCCCCACTTCTAAACGTCCCGCTTTTTTTGGCCAAACCAATGTACACCTTCCATGTATTGATTTCTTTACATGGAATGCCTGCCTTCCTGAAATGTATAAAGCCAAACTGTAACCCAACCACCTTGCTCAAAGCTTCTTGGGTGTGGCTCTCTGAGCCATGGGAGCACCTATTCGCCTCAGAATACACCACCTCTTTAAATTATTTTACAGTTTGGGCTATTTTCCGTTGACAAACATTATATTCTTCTCTGTGACCACCACAAGCTTCCTATGTGGTAGACTCTCAACAAACATGGGACTGAATCTCTACAGGACTTGTAACTGCTTCCGTCACAGCTAGTAAGCTGGAACACACGCGTGTTCACTGGGCTGCTCCGTCATTCCAGGTCTCAGCGCTAGGAAATCACTTGGGCAGCACAAGAGCGGGTGTTGGGTGGGTTTGGGTGGGCTGACCAAATCTCTCTCCACCAATACTGTCGCAGATAATGACGTCGGCGCGCCAGTGGCCGTCGCTCACTCCCGAGGAGGCGGGACTTCCTATTTCCCTATAGTACTTCCGGCCAGAGCCGGGAGCTTTGCAGGTGGACTGTACACTTGCTGAAGAGGCCCTTGTTCAGACCTGCTGAGATGTCCGAGGGCAGGTGAGCTTGTAGGGTCCTGGGGAGCTGAGGGAGTCGAGCGTTCCTGGCCAGTGCTCCACCCTGCAGTGCTCTCGGTCTTTTATTCCTTTCCTGGAATCTTCCCAGGTTGCCAGAGCCGGGCGTTGCCTGCTCCCTGCCGCTTTAATCGAACCTAGACTTGGGGACTGAAGGGAGTGCAGTGCGTGTGTGCCCCGGAGGAGGGCCGGCCGGCTTGGCAGCACCGCCCTGCGCTTCCTGGAAAGCCTTATTTTGGAGTAGCGGAACGTGATCCCTTTGTTTTTTAAGCTTCTCACAGAAAATTGGCATGTCACTTTGGAAGGGGCGTAATTGGTACAGGCGACCAAAGAGTTGGCATCTATCTTAGAGCAAGAGCCCCGTTCTTCCAAATCAATTAACATTTATGATGAAGGACAAATAACGTTAAATAGATGGAGAACTTTTAAAGTAACTTTTACATGGTGCTTGCCACTACCTGGGGACTGTTCTGTAATAATTTGTGGGAGGATCTAAATGAGAGTGTGACAGCCCTGTCCCTTAAGAATTAGTCCCATCGGGAAGAGAAGGTTAACAAATGCCAAACTGTTAGGGAAAGAAGAGAGAGAGATGAAGAGAGAGGACCTCTCTTTTGTCTGACGTTAATATAGCCACGGCTGTTGTCTTTTGATATTTGCTTCATAAATTCTTTCATCTTTTTAGTTTTAACTTTTCTGTATGTTTGTATTTTATGTGCTGTTGTAAACAGCATATCGCTGGGGATTTTTTTTTTTAACCTAAGCCAACAGTCTGCATTTTGACTGGCTGGTTTATTGTTTATTGTATTTACATTCATTGGTACTGCTGAGATATTTGTTCAGATCAAAACCTTATCCTTGACTCATTTAATCTATCAGCAAATCCTGTGGACTCCACCTTCAAAATCTAACCAAACTTGAAAGCACTTTTCATCACCTTCACTTGTCCATGTTATAGTCCTTTCTCACCTGGATTGCTGCTACAGCCATCTAACTAGTTTTTCAGCATGTTCAAATCATGGCATCTAGAGTGATCTTCCTTAAAAAACAAAATTGATCTCTTTTCTCTCAAAAAACCCTCCAAGGACTACACATTTCACTCAGAGTAAAAGCCAGAGTCTTTATTTAGAGTGGCCTCCCAGGTCTTATATGACCTGGTCCTGCTTCAATCTCGAATCTCTTACTACTTTCCTGTTTGCTTTACTGAATGGTCTCCTCCAACACATCCTAGCCCCAGGATATTTGCACTTGCTGTTCATTGCCTGGAATGGTCTTCCCTCATAAATCCACATGGTTCAGTACTTTGCCTCCCTCATAATTTTGGGACTGTTACCTTCTCTGTGAGGCCTTCTCTAACAATCCACATCCTTAGCATATCTGTTGCACTCATTGTCTTTGTGCTTATCATCATATGACATGCCATGTGATTTAGTCATTTATCTGGTTTAGTATGTTCTTCCCTGCTAGGATATAAGGGAGGTATTTTTCTATTTTTGTTTACTGCTGTATCCCTATTGCCCTAAACAGCACCTGGCTTTTAATAGCTACTCCATAATATAATTGTTAAATGAATGAATTTGGGCTTTTTGTACCATGTTACACTTTGTATTTCCTATACTTTTTTCTCCTTTCTTGCCTTTTTTTGGATTGAGTTTTTTGTTTTATTTTCTTGTTTTACTTTCCCCCTTCTACTTGTTTGGAAGAGATTTACTCTGTAAATTTCTGTTCTTATAGTGGTTAACTTTTAATTTTTAATTTTACTGTGCATACTTAATTGAACCTAATCATAATGTAGCCCTGTAGACAATATTGTTTTCATCATTAAGGTACTGATTTTAAACATGTTTCCTAGATCACCTCAGTATTTAATTACTTTTATAAGATGAGAGATCACACCTGTAATCCCAGCACTTTGGGAGGCTGAAGTGGGAGGATCACTTGAGCCCAGGAGTTCAAGATTAGCCTGGGCAACATATCGGAGACCCCATCTCTACTAAAACCAACAAAACAAAAAAGATGTGAATGTTCAACAATAAAAGTAGTAGTTGTTACTGTTTTTTTGGTGGTTTTCTTTCTTTTTTTCCTTTGGCATGAAGTATATAAAAAAAACAGGACATTATGCTAAGTGAAATAAACCAGTGATTAACATATAGTACTGTATGATTCCACTTAATGAGGTATCTAGAGTAGTCAAAGTCATAGAAACAAAAGGTTCCCCCCACCCTTTGGGGAAGAGGGGGGAGTGGAAATGGGGAGTTGTTTAATAGACATAGAATTTCAGTTTTGCAGACAAAAAGTCTGGAGATTGGTTGCACAGCTATGTGAATGTACTTAGTGCAACTAAATTGTGCACAATGATTAAGATAAATTTTGTTATATGTATTTTACCACAATTAAAAATAAAATAAAGACAGCAGACATATTTGTCTAAAATTAGGCTAAATACTTGGAAAGTGTTTTTTTCTGGGTGGTAATTTTTCTTTCAAATGTTTGAAGGAATTCTGCATTCTTCATTTAGTCTCCCAACATGAACTTCCAATCAGTGAAACCCTCTTAGATTTCCCTACCTGGAAAGCTAGTCTCTTACTCTCTTATTTTTAAGGTGCTTGCTCATGGTAGTTAACCAGAGCATGGTTTCCATGTAAAGCCTTTGCTTGCTCTTAACCCACATGGTTCTCCTTCACTGAACTTGATCCTTGCATTCCTAATTGTAGGTCTTAATTTTTTTTTTCTGTTATCTTTCCAAAATAGATTGTAAATTAGTTGCAAGAGCATGACTTTTATTTCATTAGGTTCTTTACCATGACAGAAAGGTTAAGGTACATAAAGACTCATAACTTGTTAGTGCCTGAACCAGGATTACTACCTAGAGCGCCTAAATCTCAGTTAAGTGTGTTTCTCATTGATGTTGATTTTTCTTTGATAGTTGTCATGAATGGCATCAATGAATCAATGATACTTCAGACCTGATAGCAATTACTTGGGTACAATTAAACAACAAAATTCTTTTTTTTTTTTTTTTTTTTTTTTTTAAGAGACAGGATCTCACTGTGTTGCCCAGGCTGGTTGCCACCTCCTGGACTCAAGAGCTCCTCCCACCTTGGCCTTCCAAAGTGCTGGAATTATAGGCATGAGCCACCATGCCTGGCTTTTGGTACATTTTGAACAAACATCAGGGAATGATTTAGGAAAATAAATTTAGAAATATAGAATCCATATTGAAAAGTCTTTTTTCTAATATTTACAAAATGCAAATGTTTTTACCTTGTCTGTTTTGCATCAAACAACTTTTTGTATCTCTTGGTGGCTAAAGGTAGGAAATATGATAACCTGGTATTGGAATCTGTATCTATTGTGAGCATTAGGCTTACCGTGACTAAACTTCCCCATGTTAACTACTATTATTCTGAACTTGTATTTATTTGCATTTATGGAATATTTTCTCATTATCTAAATATAGAATCTTGCGGGGCACGGTGGCTCGCCCCTGTAATCCTAACACTTTGAGAGGTTGAGGTGGGAGGATTGCTTGAGGCCCGAAGTTTGAGGCAGCCTGAGCAACATAGTGAGACCCTGTCTCTACAAAAAATAGATAAATAAATAACTGCTCAACTACTTAGGAGGGTGAGGCAGGAGGATCACTTGAGCTCAGGGTTTGAGGTTGTAGTAAACTAAGATGATACCACCTCACTCTAGCCTGGGCAACAGAGTGAGACACTGTCTCCAAAAAAAAAAAAAAAATATTCAAGAGTTTCCTCCACTCTTAAAAAATAACAGTACAGTTGAAAAAGATACCTGATGCTGAGCGTGGTAGCTCACACCTGTAATCCTAGCATTCTGGAAGGCTGAAGTGGGAGGATCGGTTGAGGTCACGAGTTCAAGACCAGCATGACCAAGAGTGAGACCCCATCTCTACTGAAAATAGAAAAAAATTAGCTGGGTGTGGTGGCATGTGCCTGTAGTCCCAACTACTCGGGAGGCTGAGGCAGGAGGAACCCTTGAACCCAGGAGTTTGAGGTTGCCGTGAGCTAGGCTGACACCATGGCACTCTACTAGCCTGGGCAACAGACAAGACTTTGTCTCAAAAAAAACAACAAAAAAAAAGACACCTCTGCATGAATGCACGAATGTTTATTGCAGCACAATTCACAATTGCAAAGATGTGGAATCAACCCAAATGCCCACTAATTCGTGACTGAATTAACAAAATGTGGTATATGTATACCATGGAGTACTATTCAGCTGTAAAAAAGGATGAATTAATGTCTTTTGCAACAATTTAGATGGAACTAGAGACCATTCTCCTAAGTGAAGTATCTTGAAAATAGAAAAACACCACATATATTCACTATTAAATTGTAACTAACCAGTGAACACACGTGCACAGAGGGAAGTAAAAATCAGCAATCCAGTAGGGGTGGAGGAGTTGAGGGTGGGGGCAAAAGCCTACATAACGGGTACAGTGAACACTATTTGCATGATGGGCACACTTATAGCTGTGACTCAAGCATTAGAAAAACAATCTATGTAACCAAAAACATTTGATCCCCTTTAATATTTTGAAATAATAATAATAGTTGAAGTGAGCTGTGATTGTGCCACTGCATTCCAGCTTAGGTGACAGAGCAAGACCCTTGTCGCTATAAAAAAAAACGCAACACAAACCCCCAAAAACCCAACCAAAACATAACAACTGAAGCCAGGCATGGTGGTGCATACCTGTAGTTCCAGCTACTTGGGAGGCTGAGGCAGGAGGCTCACTGGAGCCCAGGAGTTCAGGGTTATAGTGTGCCATGATTATGCCTATGAATAGCCACTGCATTCCAGCCTGGGCAACATAGTGATCACCCCCTTTAAAAAAGTTACTAAGAAATTATTAAAATTTTCAACTAATATTTTACAATTGAGAAAGGAAATGACACTATAAAGTGCTATGTAACTTTGTTTCAATAATTTACTTTGTTGTTGGCTCTGGGAACTCAACCACTG